GGGGAGTGTGGGTTCGTGCGTTCGGCAGAGTCCCGTTAGAACTGTGGGCGTAATGTGCTCTGTTATCGACGTATTTTCATTAGATTTCATGCTGGATGATGGTAATGAACGATTAAGACGAGCGGGCAACGGTAATAATTTGAGATGACATGGAACGCTTGATGACGACGCTGCGGAACAGCCAATATGTGGCCAACACTTCGTATCAAATCGCTCTAAACTAAGCCAAAAAGGCCAAAAGCCAATTTCTTAATGGCCACAAATGAATATGGTGTGGTATGGAGGCCTATTTTGGTAAATACATTATCTGATTGCCAATAAAATGCCAACAATCCATTTACGACCAATCAAATAATGGATTGCAAAAATTATTGGGCGCCAAATGCACCACTCCATAATATTAAAAGTGACACTTCTTATGATGAGAAGGATACGTTCATCCCTTACAGATGGATACTCTCTCATAAAGGGGCTAAATCGCTCCATACATTAGGTGGGGGACTTTGTTGCATTACAGTTTTTCTACTTGAAATCACCTCAACCGGTGAATTAAGTATACAGGGTGTTTGGGCGTGAGTGAACAAAATAACGGTCTACTCTTTTAAATAGTGAATAAAAACGATCAAAGGAGCATTTGGTTTCTAGTATTCCAGACTTTGTGGCTTTTTTGTGGTCGTTTACTCGATTATGCACCAGAAAACCACCCTCAAAACAATGTTTACGTAGCGGCTTGCGCTGAAACCCCGGCGGCGGCGTTGGCGGCACCTCGCCGCCTCAGCTTGATTGCCCGGATACTGATTTAAATGCAAATTTAAAATGTCTTTCAATTTATAATCTTATTCCTGTCCAAATTACTTCATTATGAGGCTGATAGCGCTGTTCTGAAAGGGTTTAGTGGGAAATGTTCCACTTCAGCTGTCGCTGCGGATGTTTGAGAAAGTAAACTGTTTGGTACCGAAAAGGCCATTAGAGCCTACAAGACGCCACAGGTTCGATCACATTCGCACCATTGAAATCGAGTGGTTGCTGGGACTGGAAAATCTGAAAACAATCCGACCCAATGCCCAGAAGAACGCGTTTTCTTTAACTGTGTCACGTTCCGTTCGAAAAGTAAGGGGTCACGTGCAAGCACGCCTTGCCGAAATGACAGACGTGAACATAATTTGACGGCAAATAAGAACAGGGGATGGAAATGATTGCGAGGTTGGGGAGAGGAACGATTAGATAATCTAATAGAGGCTGTCATGTCGCTGCGAGTCGAGGCGCAGCCAATTTTCCTTCCACTTATTTCGCAACGGTTCGCATTCGAAAGATCGAACAAACAGACGATTAAAAGAGCATATCGATACACTAGTAAAAACGCGTTCGTGTTATTGCCACTTTTGTTTCCTGAGTTTGGGCAGCGTAGATCTCCAAGAAGCCTTTGGACAGTTAAAAGTACCTTCTTTATAAGTTCTGTTTCTCAGGTTTTCAACTTGATGAGGCATTTGAAGTCCGTTTGTTCGCATTGAGGCTCACATTAAACAGTTGCGTATGTTTACGTTTTTCGATGGGAGCAACAATGGTTCACAGGGTGTTCCAATGGGAAAGACGGATTTAAATTTTAAATAAAACATGTAACGACCAGGTATGCAGCCCATCGT